TTTTTTTTTTTTTTTTCTGCTGTACGCGGGCCCCTCACCACTGTGGCCTCTCCCATTGTGGAGCACAGGCTCCAGACGCGCAGGCCCAGTGGCCATGGCTCACAGGCCCAGCCGCTCCGCGGCATGTGGGATCCTCCCGGACCAGAGCATGAACCCGTGTCCCCTGCACCGGCAGGCGGATTCTCAACCACTGTGCCACCAGGGAAGCACCTGACTTATTTAATTTGTGCTCAATAATCTGAACTTGATTTGGGGGTGTGGGGGGTGGAGGGAGTATGTTTATACATCATTGTGTCTCTTGAATTTCAGATGAGATTCTGGAAGTGTCTGATACCGATGAGCAGCCACCCCAGGAGTCTCCAGTACTTATCACTGATGATGATGATGATGATGATCATAATGATTTGCAGGGCCCTGTGCTAATAGAAGATGATTTGTGTGATGAGGACCAAACTCCCTCAAATGAGAAAAAGAAGAATGAGTTTGCTATCTCCCTACACAAATCATCTTATGATGTTGGTAAGCAGGATCTTGGGGAAAATGTCTGCCAGCCACCAAGTGATGAACCTAAGGCTGAGATAGAGATTTCACTTGGAAAGTTGTCAAGTGATGAAGAGCCTGTACGTTTGGTGGCAAAACCAAGGAAAAGGAAAAATAAAACCAGAAGCATACCTGTGACATCTGGTAAGCCAATCAAACCAAGTATGCCTGTCCCACTAAGGCTAGCGCCACAAGTGGGTGCCCTTTCCCCCGTATACGTCTGTCTTGTCGAGTCTGCTTGTCCTGTCTACTAACCCTCTGCTATGTTTCAGCAGCTTCCTAGTGGCCGAGGGAGGCAGCCATCCCAGTGAGAAGGCTCTTTCTGGGGAAGGGCGAGGAACACCTGTGTCGTCCTCATGCTCCAGTTTCTTAGTATCTGCCGTTCCATCCATTGGCAGTGCTTTTTCCCTGCAATTTTTTGTCCTGAGGATATCCCATTTTTCTTAGGATCCAGCCCAATTGCCACTTGCTGTAGAAAGCCATAAGTCCGAGGTGCTCCTCCCTCACAGGTTCCCAAAGTTCCTAGGCCCTGTCACTAGTAAAGCACTTACACAACTGTGTTAAGTATGTTTCTGAATCTGTCCTCCCAGTAGATAGTGAGCCTTTTCTATTTCTTGGCCACATCACATGGCATGCGGAATCTTAGTTCCCTGACCAGCGATCGAACCCTTGCCCCCTGCAGTGGAAGCACAGAGTCTTAACCACTGGACCACCAGGGAAGTCCTGATGGTGAGCCTCTTGATGGGAGGGCTCTCACTCATCCTTAAGTCTCTCCTGGAGTCTAGCCTGGTACTTGGCACATACTAGACGTTTAATAAGTTTTTTAGATAAATGAATGAAGGGCACTAGCTCCTGATACGTGAATTTCTGGCTAGAGCAACCGGCAGTATGGGTGCTAGACAAAAGGGGAAAGGTTTGGCTTGCACATTGGATGAAGGTGCCACCTAGGATGGGGGCCATTTTCCTCAGAGTGAGTGCGTGAGTTATGCCACACCATTCCTGGTACTGCACGTGCCTCAGTCGCCCCCACAGTCTAACCTCCAAAGGCATATTCATGTAGCCTCATAATAGTCCTCAGCACCTAGGACAGAATCCTGTCCCGCTTACTCTGCTTACTCGCGTAGGTGAAATCTTTCATGCAGACTAACGGAGGAGGGTGCCCGCTTCCAAGAGAAGCGTTGAGTGTATATGTGCTGCTCTGGGCTTGGATGTGAGGGCTCCTCCTGGGATTACCTTTCTGTGAGTTGCTGGTTGGTACCAGTTTTCAGGGTACAAACTACTCTCTCTTTTCAGTTGTTAAAAGAGCAAAGAAGCATGGGCCTTTAAAGAAGAAATTCGGAGCAGCAAAATTTGAAAAATGCGAGCCTGGGTATGTATGTACTGCTTACGGTCAACAGCACAGGAGTTGACTGCATAGTTGTCACGTGCAAAGCTGTCCACTGGGCACGTGTGGGGGTTTTCAAGGGGATGAAGAAGTCTGCTGGGGCCGGGGGGCGGCACAAGTTTTACCTCCCTGAATGGGGAGGGCAGAAGCGGCAGGAGGAGGAGAGGAGGAAGGGGGGGGAGGAGCCTCGGTGCCCTCGCTCCCCTCCCCCAACAGAGCCGGGCGTGGGCACTCTGCGCAGATTTCAGCGATTCTGGGCAGACTGGATCCCTTTTGCCCTCCCCCCGCCACAGGAGCTCTGGCCCCTGAGGTTTCCTTTGTCCTTCCACTCAGATTAAACAATGATGTGTAGCTAAAGATCCTTTTTTCAGGCCAGATACAGCCTCATGGCCACCAGTTTGCACTGAACTAAAAGCAAAGGCAGTGGGAATGGTGAGAAGGCAGAACAGATGTGTTCCCATCCATTGGAATTGGGGGGAGGCAGTCAAGATTGTCTTCCAGGGTTTTCTAGTGTTCTGGATGAACCCTTATTCTTTTTTTTTTTTTTGCGGTACGCGGGCCTCTCACTGTTGTGGCCTCTCCCGTTGCGGAGCACAGGCTCTGGATGCACAGGCTCAGCGGCCATGGCTCACAGGCCCAGCTGCTCCGCGGCATGTGGGATCTTCCCGGACCGGGGCACGAACCCGAGTCTCCTGCATCGGCAGGTGGACTCTCAACCACTGTGCCACCAGGGAAGCTCCTTCTTGCAATTTTTTAAAGCTTAAACATTAAGGTGAAATAAATAGTCTCTTTATCTTTATTAAGCTATATGTTAGATATTATATTGATACTGAAAACAACAGGTCATTTAGACCAAAGACATGTTAATGCTCAAAGGAAGCAAAAAAAAAAAAATGCATTTTCTCACTTAGGTTCCAGGAACTTCTCACTTTTTCTCTTAAAAATATGATATAGTGAGCATACTTTTCTTTGTTTTTCTTTGCATTCAGGAGTAATTTATACTTACATCTGAATTATCTTACAAAAGAAGGGATATATTTGAAGGACTGTACGTTTCATTTTTTACCTGTATTTTGGGGCAATAAATGCATCTTTTTTTTAAACATATGGTGTTTTCCTTTTAAGAAATTTATTTATTTATTTATTTTTGGCTGCGTTGGGTCTTCGTTGCTGCGCACAGGCTTCTTCTAGTTGCTGTGGGCAGGGGCTACTCTTCGTTGCCATGCGCGGCTTCTCACTGCGGTGGCTTCTCTTTCTGTGAAGCACGGGCTCTAGGCACACGGGCTTCAGTAGTTGTGGCTCGCAGGCTCTAGAGCGCAGGCTCAGTAGTTGTGGCACACAGGCTTAGTTGTTCCGCGGCCTGTGGAATCTTCCCGGACCTGGGCTTGAACCCGTGTCCCCTGCATTGGCAGGCAGATTCTTAGCCACTGTACCACCAGGGAACTCCAATAATTGTGCATCTTAGGGGGAGAAGAAGAATGATGTGTCAGGCGTAGGGGCAACAGAGAAACTTGGACTTGAGCAGAGAGGCTCTCTGTTTCTGCATTTCTCTTTGGTTCAGTGTGTCATGTCTTAGATGGGTCCCCTTGCAGCAAAGCTTGTTCTCTGGATTCCTAGATCGATATTTAAGCTGCTTTGCCTCTAAGGGACATGTGTCTTGGGTAGAGTGTGACGAAGGAAGAAGCTGCTCCTTTGTGTCATTGTCCTCTGCCTCATATCAGGAGGCTGGCCTGTTTGGACTCTTCTCTGTTGCCTTGCTGCTTCCTGTTTCAGTCTGTAGGCTTCCTGTTGTGCTCAGCATTGTTCCTGTGCAGGCTGCTTGCTGGTCATGGTGTCTGATGCATGCGTCTGGGGTCTTGTTGGTTCCTCTGATGTGGAGATACTCAGTTTGCAGTAAAGCAGCATTGCCACTGAAGTGAAGGCTTGCTAAGCCACAAGCTGCTTGATGTGAGTATAGACACACGCAGGGATCACGCTCTCTGCTGAGGTCTGTAGATGGTTTAGGTTTTTATCTGCCACCTTTTCTGATGCAAATTTGCTTTCAGGACTAAATAATTGGAGGCAGAAATATTAGTCACCCATATCAGACTGTGGGGCAAAAGTCCGTTACTTTAGCTGCCTATATCTTCTCTGGTACTTTCCCTCTGTCTCCACCCTGGGCAACTCCCATAGGGTTTTATTTTGTGACTTAAGGGTTAATGAGTGTCTTGGCAAAATCTCGGTCTCAGGGGTTCTGTTAGGTCAGAAACACTTCCCTCTGTTTGCTACTGGCTTATCATCTTTTCAGCTCTGTGGGCTCATCTCTTTGGACTCGTGGATTGTTCCAGCCAAGATAAAAATGTTTCCGTTTAGGGGCTTCCCTGGTGGTGCAGTGGTTGAGAATCTGCCTGCTAATGCAGGAGGCACGGGTTCGAGCCCTGGTCTGGGAGGATCCCACATGCCGTGGAGCAGCAGGCCCGTGAACCACAGCTACTGAGCCTGCGCGTCTGGAGCCTATGCTCCGCAACAAGAGAGGCCACGACAGTGAGAGGCCCGCGTACTCCGATGAAGAGTGGCCCCCACTCGCCACAGCTAGAGAAAGCCCTCGCACAGAAACGAAGACCCAACACAGCCAAAAATAAATAAATTAATTAATAAACTCCTACCCCCAACATCTTCTTTAAAAAAAAATGTTTCAGTTTAAATAAATAGATATTACACGTGTGAGTTTTTTATGGGCTCAGCACTATTCTTTTTTTTTTTTTTGCGGTACGCGGGCCTCTCACTGTTGTGGCCTCTCCCGTTGCGGAGCACAGGCTCCGGACGCGCAGGCTCAGCGGCCATGGCTCACAGGCCCAGCCGCTCCGCGGGATGTGGGATCTTCCCGGACCGGGGCACGAACCCGCGTCCCCTGCATCGGCAGGCAGACTCTCAACCACTGCGCCATCAGGGAAGCCCTCAGCACTATTCTTTGTGCATTTGAATTAGGCCTTGAAAGATGGGGCAGCAATAGTGGTCTAATGGAAAGACCGTGAGATTTGGGTCAAAAGATTCAGTGTCTGTGAAATTTGGGTAAGTCATTTAACCTCTGAACTTAAGTTTTGTCATGTGCAAAGTGGAGATGGTAAGAATAGTAGTAGCTTCTTTGGAGGGTGGTCGTGAGGATTAAATATGATGATGCAAAAGGAAGTTCTTAGCAAATGATGAAGTGCTCCACAGAGGGTGGGTCTCAGTAGAGGTGGAGGTGTGGCCATTCTAGGCCATGGACAAATCGGTTCATGTCCAGGGAACATTTAAGTTGCCCAGTTTGGCCAGAGTGGAAATGATAGCTGGAAACAGGTTGGAACCAGGTTGACCTGGGCCTTGAATGTTAGGCCAGACAGTCAGTGAAAAGCCAGGGAGGGACATCACTGGAACGTGGCCTAGGAAAATTAGAGAGAGAGAGGGAGAGAGTGAGTGTGTGTGTGTGGTTGGATTAGAAGAAAAAGAGCCTGGAGGTGAGGAACACAGCGGGATGCTGTAGTGGCAAGGCATAGAGGGGAGGACAGGAACTTGACCTGGAGTGGTGACAGCAGGGTGGAAAGGAGGGGCTGTCTGGAAGAGATGATGTGAAGGAGACAGTGGTCTGTCTTTGTGCCTAGTTGAATATGGGGTGAGGGAGAAAAATGAATTTAAAAAGTCTCTGAGGTTTTTAGCCTGTTATAATAGAAGTTGAACAATTAAACACATTTAGCAGGAGACATACTCCGGTTAGTAAGTTGGAAATTTGTACTGGGCAGTTGTAAACGCAGATCTTAGGAGAGAGGTGGAGACTGCAGATCCAGATGTGGGGTCACCCCTGTTGAGGTTGGAACCATGGGCCTCACGTCTCTGACAGTGTGCGGGGAGTGACGAGAAGAAGGCTATGAATGGAATCTTACAGGAGATGCCCTTGTAGCAGGAGCTGGAAGGAAGAGGGACCCTCTTGACATGACCTGTATGTATGCATTTCTTCTACTGATTTCTTTCCCTCTACAAAACTCAGTTGAATTTACCTTTGCAGGCATTCTGAGTGCAAAATACCTGGATGTTTCTTGCGTGGCATTGAGAACTTAAAGCAGTATTCTGGAAAGAATTTCAAGCAAAATAAGGATGAACTGGTTCAGAAAATCTACGCTCTGTGTAACAGCTCTGTCTTTGATAAAAAGGTAGACTCGATGAAATAAGCACTTACTGAGCACCTGCTGTATGTCCAGCTCTCTTGGGAGCTGGAAGGTGTGCAGATGTACTAACTGTATATTTCCTGCCCTTGAGAAGTGTCAGTTTAGATGGGGAGGGGAGTTGAGACATGCATTCGTGAAAGACACAGTGTTTTGTGGGTTACAGTATATGGTCCAGACTGTTACTACCACAGGTGATCAGCAGAGGGGGAAATCACTGAGAGCCTGAGCGGTTGGGAAATAGGATTGCCTGGAGGGAGTGAGACTTCTGGGTCTTGAAGGATGGTAAGGGGAGAGAACAACAGTGGTGGGGGAGGGGGCAAGTGTTGAGGCTTGACTATCTGGAAGAGAGGGTTCATGTTGAAGGATACTAGGAAAGAGCTGTGGGACCTTGGGCAAGTTACTGAGCCCCTGTTTGCTCATCTGTAAAGTAGGGGCATTCCAGTACCCTAGTCCCTACCACCTACTACTTCACAGAATTACTGTTAGGCCTGGATAGGTGAATGCCCCTGAAGTGCTTAGAACAGGGCCTATGACATAGTGAGCAGTACGTGTTAACTAGCGTAGGGCTGGTTAATGGAGGGCCTTGGGAGTCGGGTTGGAGGAACTTAAATTGAAATCAGTAGGCACCACTGCCCAGGGATGGGATGTAACGTGGAGTGCCTGCTGAAAGAATTGTTCTGTCAGTAGCCTGTGGTGGGGACTGGATCAGAGAGAATCTGGAGGCAGAGAGACCTGCGGTCATGAGGTTTTCCAGACTTTATTGTCTCTGGTGACAAAACTTCCTGCAGGGAAAGTTCTTAGATCTTTCTAAAGGTTCCCCAGCCTTTGGTGCCCTTCCTGATGACAGTGGTGTTACATCAGATGACTCTGATGAGTGGAACCTTAAGTGTTCTGAGTTGCACTTTTAGTTTTGCCTCATGGCTCTCATGCGCGGGCTCCATCTCCTAGCCCAGCAGAAGTGTCCTTCTCTCCTTGGCTGCCCCTGACTTTTGTCTCCATACAGGGGAGCACAGATCCTGCATTCACGTGCTTGCAACAGTCTCGTCTTTACGTGGGCTTCAGCTTAGGTTTTATTCCCCCAGAATGTTAGATTTGCAAAACTCTTGAGTTAATATTTTCTGGTCTGCTTAGAACCGCTTTCTGATTCGCTCTTGTTTGCTTTTTGTTCTCAGATGCCGGAGAAAATTGACATCGGCTGGAATAAAAAGATGCTGAGAACTGCTGGTTTATGCACCACTGGCGAGATTCGATACCCGAAGAGGGAGCGTTATGCTAAGATTGAGATTTCTCAGAAAGTCTGTGATTCTGCAGGTGATGGCAGGAGCTGGGCAGCTCCCCTGCTGCACTTACATCTGATATGGCGCCTGGGAGGTTACTCTTGGGTGCTGGTGTTCTCTGGCCGCCTGTGTCACAGCTTTCGGTGGACAGGCCTACTGTGTGTTGCTTAGAGGACATTATTATTGGATGTCTCACCACCACCAAGAATCCAGTTCGTCCATATTTCTACTGGGCCTAACTTTGTGCAGCTCCCCACTGCCAGCAGCAGCATCTCCATCCTCCCAGTAACTGAGGTTCAAGGTCCCCTATATCTAGCCAATCACCGAATGTTCATAATGACTCTCCTATTATCATCATCCCTTCTCTGTCTTTGCCTCTGCCCAGCTATGGACCCTCATCACCTCACTTTTCTCCCTGCTCCATGCAGTTTCGTGCTAGGAAACCTTGGGCTTGCCAGTGCCTCGAGTGTGGCTTTCGAAGCCATCGTACTTTGCCCCCCTCCATGTGGCCAGTCTTGTCTCTCACTACTCCACCTGTGCTCCAGCCAGGCTTTCTTCACGCTGGCTTTCAAAATGGACCACATGCTTTCCTGACCCCAACCTTGGCTCACCTTCTCTACCACACCTAGAAAGACCTTGATAATTTTGCCAATCTAGTCAATTGTTAAGGGCCCAGCTCAGATCCCAGCTTCTCCACCGAGCTTCTCCTGACCAAACCCCACTTTATGCTCCTGGAGGGCGGCGACCGGGCCTCGGCTGGATGTATTTCTAGCAGTGTCCCACAAAAAGAGCACATTGGAGCTTTTCCAAAAACACTTGCTCCACTGAGGCTCTCTGCCATTAATAAAATCGGGTTGAATTCGGTAGAAATTTCACCTTCAGAATCCTGGGGCGATAACACTCCTGCCTGCCCACATATGCTTATGTGTCTGGTGGGGTGGAGAGTCTAGGGGTGATTGGGTAACAGACCAGAAGGGAATCGGTTTAAGCCTCATGATTTCTTTTCATTCCTCTTCTAAGACCGACTCCGGGATACTTTGATCCATGAGATATGCCACGCAGCCTCCTGGCTGCTCGATGGCATCCGTGATTCTCATGGTGACGCATGGAAGTATTATGCCCGAAAATTGAATATGGTGCACCCGGAGCTGCCCAAGGTCACCCGTTGCCATAACTACAAGATTAACTACAGGATTCATTATGAGTGTACTGAGTGCAAATTCAGGTAAGACCCTTCTCCTCAGACTTTTTCCAATTATGTTTTTGCTATGGCCTCCACGTAGTCTTCAGTGGTTTTATCAGGAAGTACATGGCTATCTGACTTGAGGAGTAAAACTACTCCTTTCCATGTCTTCTTTCTCCATTCTCTTCTGCTTTGAGCCAGCCTGACCACGGCCACTGCCTGGTGCCCCACTTGATGAGATCCCACAGAAGAAGTCTGGCTGTGGGCTCAGGGGCAGCAGCTCTGAGAAGATGCGGAGGTACAGTGACTGATTCGTTTGCTGTGTGGTGTCTCTTTCCTCCTTAGGGTTGGCCGCTACACCAGATCATTGGACACCGAGCGCTTCATCTGTGCCAGGTGCCAGGGCTCTCTGGCCGTTCTGCCATTAACTCGTAAAGATGGAACCCCCATTGAGCCCCACGTGAGACCATTTGCCAAGTATGTGCAGGAGAATTACAGAATAGTCAGGAAGGAGATGGCAGGGATAGGTCATGGGGATGTGATGAGAAAGCTCAGCAAGGATTTTAATGCCAAAAAACAAAGCCAGGTTTGTTGAGGTTATCTGAGAATGTATTTGTGTAAGGTGACTCATCTATTGGTAAGGAGTTTTAGAAAGATATCTTTGATGCTGTGAAGTTATGAATATTAGAATTTAAATCCTTCTTTAAAAGCTTCCTGTTATTAATGATGTTTGTTCTTCACTAAGAGTTCGGTTGCTAAACATTTTGTGCTGATACCCAAAAGCACTTTGGATCTACCTTGGGTCTTATTTAGATGCTGTAGTTTTAACATGCAGAGCAAAATGCGAAAGAGAAAAGATTTCTGGAGAGTGGCACGTTGAGAGAATGAGGCATGCTGAGAAGAGAACAAATTTTAAAGACAGTACTTCAAAACCAGAGCTGCTGTCAGATGTAACCTGTTAACACCTACCTGGAAGTGAAATACAGACATGTTTCATGAATTTAGCTGCTCTTGACATTGTATGAAGCCACCTGAACAATGTCACTGTTCATAAAATAAAAATAAAGAAATGTTTTCTGCAGCTCACTTGTTAGCAAAGTCTGTTCATTGACAACCCATGTCCAGAGCAGAACAAACCCTTGGGTCTTTGTCTAAGACCCCGGACCTCTCAAGCTCTCCACGATGTGTCTGGAAGAACAGCCTCCGTTTAGGGTTTCTCTTGGATTTTTGTGACTGCCCATAAGCACTTCAACAACCTCCCCTCTTTTGGGAGCTGTCTGGGATGTAGACTGGAATCAACGTTGTATTTGTTTTCTGTTTCTGCCAAAACAGTCTGCCAAAGCAGATTACCACGAGGTTAGTGACTTAAAACAACACAAATGTATTATCTTACAGCTCGGGAGGTCAGAAGTCTGGCGCAGACCTCATAAGTCTAAAATCAAGGAGTGGGCAGGGCCGCATTCCTCTCTGGAGGCCCTGGGCGGGGGAATCAATTTCCTTCTCTTTCCACCTTCTAGGGGCTGCTTGCATTTCTTGGTTTGTGGCCCCCTTCTTCCCATCTTCAAAGCCAGTGACATCTCTTTTCTCTGACTATCTCCCCTTCTGCTTCCCTCTTTCACTTTTTTTTTTTTTTTTTTTTTTTTTGCG